CACATACTATATTCTAAAATAAAGTAAGCTAGAGAAAAGAAAATGTTAAGAAAATCATAGGTGGATTATCATAGAGGTCTTCATCCTCACGGTCTCCACATTGAACAGACAGAGGCCGAGGAGGAACAGGGCTGGAAATAATCTGAGTGTAAGTGGACCCACGCAGTTCAAACCAGTGCTTCTCAAGGGTCTGCCGTATGCAGCACCATGAGCCAGGACACAGACACCGTGGCTGTGAACACAGGGTATGCAGCTCTGCAGGTGACTAGTGTGTGTGGAATTGAAGGGGGGACCTTTATCCTCCGTCTGGAATAACTGGATCTAGTTTCTCACATTCCTCCGTTGCATGAAATCATCATCTTATCAGAAATGATTTCTTTTTATGTTCTATCCAAAAGGATGTTTGTTTGGTGACACTGTTAGCTATTAATTTATTCTGTGATGCTTAAAGTAAACATTCATTTAAAACATCCTATATTTTTTTAAAATAAATTTTATTTTTATATTCCCCATACAATTGCAATCCCCTTATTTTGACCGCAATCCCTCCCCTCCCCGCCCCCCACTCCCCATAGAGCGTCTCTGGTTCATAGTTTTTTGTTGATTTTGATTTTCACTTTCTTATAGTTATTCATTTTCCTGGTCCCTTATTTAAGTTTTCTAGATTCCTGCTATGAGTGAGACCATCTGGTATTTTTCTTTTTCTTTCTGCCTTATTTCGCTGAGCATGATCCCTTCCAGCGCCATCCATGTTGCTGCAAATTGTATGTGTTTATCTTTTTTGAATGCTGAGTAATATTCCATGGTGTATATGGACCACATCTTCTTGATCCAGTCATCTATTTTGGGGCATTTGGGTTGTTTTCAAAGCTTAGCTATTGTAAACGGTGCTGCTATAAACATAGGGGTGCAGGTGCTCTTTGGAATTGATGTTTCTGTGTCCTTTGGGTAAATACCTAGGAGTGGAATTGCTGGATCATATGGAAGCTCTATGTTTAGTAGGTCCAGAAATCTCCATACACCTCTCCATAGTGGCTGGACCAGTTTGCCCTCCCAACAGTGCAGGAGAGTTCCTTTTTCTCCACATCCTCGCCAACATTTGTTGTTGCTAGTTTTTTTAATATGTGCCATTCTCACTGGTGTAAGGTGGTATCTCATGGTAGTTATGATTTGCATTTCCCTGATGACAAGTGATGTTGAACATTTTTTCATATGCCTGTTGGCCATTTGCATTTCCTCTTCAGAGAAGTTTCTTTTTAGCTCTTCTGCCCATTTTTTGACAGGATTTTTTTCTTTGTTGTTGTTGAGTCTCATCAGCTCTTTGCAGATTTTTGTCATCAGTCCTTTATCATTAGTGTTGGGTGCAAAAATGTTCTCCCAGTCGGTGGGGTTTCTCTTTGTTTTTGTTATTGTCTCTTTTGCTGTGCAGAACCTCTTTAATTTGATGTAGTCCCAGCTGTAAAACATCCTATAATTTAAGAGAGACATAGGACTCTTCCTTCCCTATCTGTATCCCGACCATTCAGAAAAGGTCTTGCATTAGTGAAATTTTGCTAGTGTGTTCAAGATGGAGAAACCCTTAACTCAAAATAGCAAGCACTTACAGATCAAGAATCAAATATCCTTTTAATATGGAGGAAATTTTTAATCTGATTACCAATGAGAAAAGCTTAAATAGTAAACACAGCATTTCCATGATTCCCCATTAGACATCACTTGGTATGAACTTAAGAAAGTGGGACAGTGGAAAGAATGATTTAACCAGAGTAAAATACAGTGCTGTTATTTAAAACTTAATAACTTAAGGACAAAATAACAGGAGAGTCTGGTTTCACCCTCCTGCTTTCTTGCTGTCTGTGGGCCATGCGCCGCAGGCCAGCAGGCCTGGCGGAGGGGCTGTGGGCGCCTGCCAGACTCCCCGTTGTAAAGAGAGACGGATGCTCATCATGGAATCACATGGGTGGGGATTCATAATTGGCAAAAAAAAAAAAATTATTTTAAACTTTTCATTTATGCTTCCAAGTTCCTCTGTTTGTTTTCTCGTGATCTCTGCTGGAGAATATAAATCTGCAGTCCAAGAAGTGTTTGCTGCACAGCCTTGTATGAATAATTGAATATTCTATTTCAAATTAGAGGCTGCGCCTGCAGGGCAACTGCTCTGTGCTGTAGTTGTCTTCTCTCTGGTTAGGTGGGATGTGGTGGCTGGCTGAGAAGGGAGGCAGGCCATCCACATTTGAATATGATTTTAATTTGATCAAGGCAATGATTTTTAAAGCTTTTGGATTTGAGATGCCATTCGCTCCTTTTTATTGTCATCTCCGTGGTTCACTCCCTGCCTCTCTAAAAAGGATGGGCAGAAGGGTACGAGGATCCACTTGGGCACCCCTTGGAGCCTGAAGTAGAATTCACAACACTGGGTTCCCCTTTGCTCTTGTAACAGAAAGAAAGGGGTTCCCTTGGCAGCATGGCAGAGTTCATTTGGGGATGAGGTCAAAACGGGACTTCAGTTTTATCCCTAACTACTGCTTCTCGGTTTCCTTCTCTTCTGCCAAGAGAAGTGTGTCTGGTGAAGGATCAAACAGGAACACAGGGGGTTCATCCAAGGGTGGGGGGTATCTCGGGAGAACACCCCAGACTCTTAGGTACCAAGTCTCTGAGCTCCCTCAGGAGTCACCCAGGCATAGGGCCTGGCTATGTTGGTTCATCTCCCCGCTCCCCAGATGCTGATGACCCAATGTAATGTGGCACATCCTCCGACATCCGCATGCTGTATGTAGATCTAGATTATTTATAATATCTAATAGAATGTAAATGCTATTGTTAGTGGTCATGCTATATTATTTAGGAAACAATGACAAGGCAAAAAGTCTGTATAGTACAGATGTGGCCATCATAGACCTAACTACATAGTGGAACTGTGAGATTTGATTGAATCCTCAGATGCTAACACATGGGCATGGAGGATTGTTTATCTTAAAGGACAGAGCAATGTTTCAGATTTCAAAAGATGAAAGGATTTCATTGCTAAATATGGTGGCAAGATCAGATCCTGTACAAAATTCCAAATAAAATTTCCTAAAGAATGATAAATGGAGCCTGCCCCCGACAAAAGACTTAAAAAAATTGCAAATTATGATTATATAGTCTTGGTATTTAGCAGATATTTTCCCTAAAAGTAATAAAATTAAGATCAAGGAAAGATTTGACAGTGTTAGTTGCCAGTGAAAAGAATCAAGCTTTCAAGTGAAAATCAGAATTTTAGAAAACTTGTATTTTCTACCATGAACTTGATAATTCCCAATACTTAATAACTTCTGATGAGGTCAGTGATGATATTAACAAATGTGATTTTTTTTTTTCATATTGTAGTGAAATGGGTCAAAATTTAGAAGACTTGTATAACTCAATGCACCATTGTTTTCCAGAGTACTGGTTACAAAATCACATATGAATAAAAGGTTCATTCAGTGAGCAAGATAGATACAAAAGAGTAATAGATGTGACTTTAGATTCCACGTCACAAGGCGAGTTATAACTACAACTAGCCTTTCAGAAACTACCACTTGTGGAGTTTGGGTATGGTGTCAAAGGAGAATATCTATAATCATCTGAAAAGTCTATTAAAATGCCCTCCCTTTTCCAATTAATACCTGTGTGAGGATGGATTTTCTTCATTTATTTCAACCAAGACATATCAGAACATTGAATGCAGATATGAGAATTCCACTGTTTCTACCAAAGCAAACATTAAAAGGTTCATAGGGATATATGACAGTGTCACTCTCCTCACTAAATTTTTGTCTTGAAAAAATTCCTACTTTTTATAAGAATGTCACCTCTTCAACATATAATAGGTTTATTTTTTAAATTGAATTAATATTTAATTTTTAAATTTTTATTTAATTTAATTTAATTTTGTTTTAATTTCTAATATCAATAGTCAGTAAATAGAACCCACATAAGGAAAAGCTCTTTGGGGTTTGTTTTTTTTTTTTGTTTTGTTTTTTTTGGTGGGACCCTCGCCGGTGGCCGGGGACATGTTCTTTCAGTGGGCTTGCCAAGAGACTCTCTAGAAAGACTACATCCACAGGCTTTGGAGCTATTCTGTCTTTGAGGGGATGCTGATTTTTCGAAGTCTGGGTCTCTGGAGGCAGCTGCCTTTTCACATTCTCTGTTGAGCAGCACCTCCCGCTAACTCGGCAGCCACTGAAAACATGACTCAGGCCCCCTTCCTGCCCTTTGCCTTCATCAGACCCTCTTCCCATTTTCTATAATAAGTCAGCCTCGTCAGTGCCACCTCCTGGAACAGCAGGAACTCCTGCTGTTTCCTTTTAATTGTCTAGTTAATCCTGTCACGGTATCATGATGGGCATGTATAGACATGGGAGGGGCACCAGAGAAAATGAGGATGAATTGCTGGCTTGACACCAGTGCTGGATGGGCGATCGAACCAGACAAAAAATGGAAAGTTGTGGCTTAAAGCAGAACTGGGTACAGAGCTGTGTTCTCCCACTCACCCGTGTGCTCGGTGACCTTGGGGAATTGCTCCACCCACTGGAGTCTCCAGTATCTGGTTAAAGTGGGCGAGATGCAGCTGCCCGATCCAAAGTGCTGCCTGACTTGGGCATCCCATCCTGCCTCACTCCCACCTCTGGCCGCCTCTCAGCTTGTTGCTTCAGACTTCTAAGCTAATTTTTATGCTCAAGTGTATCTAGAATTACCATATATAAGTCGTCCTAACTGTTGGAGCCTGGATGTGATGGGAAAGCATGTGGAGACTAAGGTTGTGGTGCCAGCCTCCCCTCCCCAACATACACCATACAAGGAATTTGTGTGTGTTCTAACTTCTGAACTGTCTGCTCTGAGTATTGGTGGGGGGAGGGAGGTAAGCCCCGCTTAAAAAATTTGAATGAACAGGGTGAAAAAATGTTGTGTTTATTTTACTCTGCTAAGAATGCATTGCTTTCGGGTGTTCTCATATTTATATTTTCTCTTTTCAGGGATCAGCATCTTCTGGATCCGACGCCAGAGTATGTGAAGGTAGGAAACCAGGGTTTGACATGTCACTGGGGGCCAGGGTAATAGATTTTCTGTTTCTAAGGCAAGGCTGCCAAACACTGCTGCAGTCTGGGGGAGGAAGCTGCTTAGAATGAAACAACCAGAAGGTAATTTGACTCTTTTAGGCCTTTGGTTGCCTTTGAAGGGGCCTTACATCATCCTTGGGATGTGACATCATCCTCTTGTAAGTCTATAATCTCTTCCCCTTATCTGAAACTCTTGGACCAGGTGGGTTTTTAAACTCAGAATTTTTTTAGAATGGTAATATGGTCCATATTTAACACCCTCAAAGGGATCTGGGGCCGGCACCCATAACCAAATTCATGATCTCAGTAGCGAATGTGGGGATACTCACACTAAGTAGAATAAAATAGACTGGAAATGATTTCATGTATTTTGGTTTTGTTTTGCTACCCAGTAAGTTTGGATTTGTTTGCTGCCAAGTAAGTTATTTACAGATTTTCAATTTTCAGAGGTTTGGGGTTTTGGGTTGGTAGGTGAAGAGTTGCAAACCTGTGTTTTTCTTCAGTGGAGGCCTGAAGGTGCCTGAGGTTTGCTGAGCTGTCCCTCCCTTTCCAGCAGCCACTCTTTTGCTCAGTGGCTCACCTGGAAGCTTGCGCTGTGGCCATAGGCTGCTCTCCGGTAGATCTGGCGTTTGATGCGTCTAAATGCTCCATGTTTCTAAATAACATTTTCTTTCTGGGCAGAAAGAAACTTGTCATTTCCCTCTCCTCCCTGTTACTTGGGTGTACATGTTTGCTTTATTTTATTTTGAGAATTGTAACTCTGGTTCATACTACAGAAAAGAGAAGTCTAAGCTTGTTATGCTTTGTTTCTTCTTGGGTCTCTAAGGATAACACTTTTTAGGAGAAATCATAGCACATGTTGGGATTTAAGGTGGCTGTGTCCTTGGAGCCACACCTGTCTTCATTGTTCCAAGGGTTCATTGTTCCAGTTTGGGAATATTTGGCCCCAAAACATTTTTGTATATCTGTGCCTGCTTTTGCTGTTTCTTCACTGTTTAGACAAGATTTTGGATGGAAGAAATCACTAGTATTGATCATATCTCAAGTTGGTCATTTGAGGCAGTTATGTTTTTTCCCTCTAATGCCCAGATTATGTCTGAATGCAGTTTCACCACAGCAAGTGTGTAACCCTAAACCGGCAGGGGCACCACATCAGAATCTGGTCCGAACTTTGAGTGATGTGTCTGAATCCTTCCTGGGTGCAGCACATGTATATTTGTGCAGAACTTTAGGGGATTCCATTCACTGAGCCTGTGCTTGGACTTGACTGTCATGTTAAAAAAAAAAAAAAAAAAAAGTGCCCTGGAATTAGACAGCAAGAGAATCACAGCAGCCTTTTAAAATTCACTTTGTACTGTGTTTCAGAAATTGTCTGTCTCCCGTTGCAGACTCACAAAGCTGTGTTCAACAGGTACATCCCTGCCTCAGACTCCAGTTACTCAGTCTTTTACCAAAGTCCAAACCTTTTAAGATTGCCCAAAGATGAATTCTAAAGCTAAACAGGTTTTTGGAATGACCTGTTTTAGCATGATCTAAACAGTTGTATCTCATTCATGAATATGGGTCATTGTGAGTTGAATTCTATGGAGTAAGAAGAGATGTTGCAGTGTAGGTGGCTTTTATTTTAGCTGGGCTCTCCCCGCCTTCCCCAGCACTGGCAAGTTGATAGAACTGCTTCTGGTGCCCATCGGGGTGCTCCTTTTCAGAGGTCTGTTGGGTTGTTCAGAAAGTGCTCTTTGCTCCTAACCTTGTCTGAATCCGGTCGGAGCTTTATAAATTAAGCCTCGATATGTCCCTTCTGGGTGTGTCACTGTTTTTCCTTTCTTACTTTGCGCTTGATTTAAGAGGGATGGCTTCGGGATTTGTTAGGGGAATGTGGCGTATTTGCATTTGTCTCTACGGACACAGAAGCTCTAAAAGCATGTTCATAGAGGCCTTTGGCCTACAGGTCTGAATGGAGTCACCTGTCTGTCTTCTTAGGCCAGCACAGGACTTAGCTGCCCTGTTAAGCCTGGCTGGTGAGACCCTGCCACCAAGGCTTTTAAGTCTAGTACCAGCTGACTGGAGGGTGGCTGCAGATAATCAGGGGGAGGTAAGAGAGTTGTGGATAAAAAGGGATACAGTTTGGCAGCCACCATTACCTCCCTCACCCCACCCTTTGCGGTATTTTCTTCCCTACAAGCTCCTGCACATTTAAAACCTCTTGGGTATGGAGAAAGGTAGAGCTTGTAGGTTAAGTGTGTCATATCATGTAGGGCCCTTCTGGTAGAGTAGGACTTATCAATCTAAAAAACAAAAGTCGGGCCTCCCTGGTGGCGCAGTGGTTGAGCGCTGGGTTGCGAAGCTGCCCACAGCCTCTGCAGTGCCGGTTTGATCCCCGGCCACCGGGCGAGGGTCCCACATGGTGCACAGACCTCTCCTGCCGCCCGCTGCTCCCCTCAGCAGTGTACTTCGGTCTTTCTGCCTGTTCTGCTCCCCGCTCTGGCTCTGGTGAATTCTCTCACCCTCCCGCGATTCTGACTGTACCCCAGTGCTTGTGTAAATAAATAAATCTTTAATAAAAAAAAAAAAAACCAAAAGTCAAAATGCCTTATTTTTAGGGACTTAATTGTAACCTCAGAATGAGCGGATCTGGTGGCTGTCTGGGTCTCCTCCTGCTGTGTGCCCACTGCACACTCAGTTCTATCTTTAAATGCCACACTCCTTCCCAAAGAGACTTTCTGACAATCTCTTCCTGGCTTCCCTGTGTCCGTGTACAGTTATCTTGATCAGCAGGGGGTTTGAGCTGTGTGGATCCACCCATGGGGATTCTTTTGTCTTCATAGGTTCCTCATTCACATCTGACACCCATGGTTGGTGGAATTTGTGGAGGCCCAACCCATGGAGGAAGAGGGTCACTCTGAGTTAGCCCCCAGGGTTTGTTCAGGGTCAGCTGTCACTGACAAGTATGATACCACCTACTGCCTCCCTGGGTCTGGGGAAGGGGAAGCTGAAACTGGCTAGTGGGAGGATGGGGCTGCAGTGGCATGCCAGGAGGGAGCCAGTGGAGGGTGACCCCAAAATGCAGTCCTTTCCACTTTGTACTCTGTGTCCTGCTAACACTCCGGCATTTGGGGTTGCAGCTCTTTAATAGGGCGGCATGAAAGGGGACCCTGTGGTAGTTGCTAGGATACAAGTAGCCCTTCTGTGCACCCGGGGCTGGGAAGCCCCAGGACTCTGGAAAGGTCCTTTACCTCCTCCCAATAGCATCCAGACCTTAAAGGCTGAATTCCGTGCTTGGAGGCAATTAAAAAATTAGACCAGATCCAAAGAGCCCCAGGGATTTTGGAATCTCTTCCACTGTTTCTGTCTCCTTAATTCTCACTGTTAAAGAGGAAGCTTTGGTTTTTTCCCCTTCTTTTCTCTTTTTTCCTAGGCCTCTCCTTTTTTTCCCCTCTAAGTTAGCTCAAAACTTGATCGTCTTGAAGGTCCGATTTTTTTTTTTTTTTTGTATGATCATGAGATCCTTTCCCTTAATCTATTTGCTTCTCTTTCACTGTGTCTAAAAGTAACCACCTCTTCCAGGTGGGAGAGCAAAAACTCCACCTTTTTAGTCATTAGTGATTTGGTTAGTGGGGTATAGCTCTGGAATTTTCCTCTGCGTACTTAGCATACCTTACCCTGGATAAAACCAACTTTAAAAAAAAAAGTACAACAGAGCAAATAGCTTTCAGAGGGAATAGCCCTGGGCAGCAAAATTATGAAGTAGAGTTTGTCTTCTGGACTGCTCTACCTGTTTACTGCCCCATCTGGTTTTTGCCATAGTTTTGTCCCATTAAAATGCATTTACTCAGTGTCTAGTTTCTTGAACTTGTGTCAGATAACTACGTAGAACATTTGATTTTAAAAATTGTGCTAAAATGTGCTTAAATGTTAACCTTCCCAGATAGCGTTCCAGTAGGAGACTCCATGTTAACACTACCCATAAGAATCTCCAGGGAGGGGAGCCTGGTCCACCCCCTGTTTCTAATTAGCAGTGTGACCTTGGACTTATCACCTTCTCTCATGGGTCATGTCTTCCCCACTAGCAGGTGGGCTAGTGTCTCTTCTCACTTAATATTTTTAGACTTTCCCATGTATGAGATAGGTTGGAGGGGAAAGTTTGTTTTTTTTTTTTTTTAGCAAGTGGTAGGGGAGCTTTGTTACCATCACTGTTGACCATACAATTGCTACATTCATTGTAGCAGAGGAGGTACTGCACCATGTGACTCAGACATTATCACCACGGATGTGACAGATGATCATTGCCTCCCTGCCCACACTAGCTCAGAAGATTGGAGATAAATATCCCAGTATTCCTACATTCACTCTCGGGATCCATTACGCTTTCGATTTTGTGACCCCCCCATTTTGAACCTCTGAACCCTACTTTCACTCCATTTGTTTCCTGAGACTAGTTCTTTAATCCTCAGAAGTTGTACCCCCCTCACCCCACCCCCACAATAAATGTTAACATTATTTCCTGTCTCTTTTCCCCCTTACACCTATCTTCCAAAATAGACTAAAGATTCAAATTCTTTTTAACTTCTTCATACACAGCCCTACAATCATTTTGGTAAAGCATCTTTCCTGACAGCAGTGTAAAAGAGTATTTTTTAGGGAGTGAGGGAGTAGGGCACAGCTAGGTGATTTTTCTTCTACAAGAAATGTTTTTATAGATCTTCCATTTTAAAGTAAGTTGTCCTTAAGAAAGATAAACTGGAAAAGAGTGAACTGAAAATTCGGAATGACCGATTTACAAATTAGCTGAGATGTAGGCAGCACAGAACCTGCTGGGCACAAAGGCCTGCTCTCGAGGCGACCACAGGGAGCAGCTAGCAAGTGTCCCGTGGAATGCAGTCTTTTGTTCCTAGCCAGCTTCTCAGCAAACGAATATCCTCTTTTGCAGTCACCCTTGGTGGATCCCTGCACAAACCA